GAACTGTAGAGCATGGAGAAATTGTATGTTTGTATGTATGTTTTCCTTTGAGTGGCTGATTGCACATGGTGCCAGATGCATGGTCTAGTACAGTATAGTGCATACATACTAGCAGGAGCTAGTAGCAAGGAGCAAGCAGCAGCAGTTGTAACAGTAACAGGAACGATAGTTTTAGTAGTAGCAGTAACAGGTTTAAAAGTTTGTGTAAAAGTAGCTGTATATTATCAATATTTTTTGTTATTATACAATGCATCTATTTTTTTTCAGCAGAAACCGCACTGGAAGCAGTAGAGGGCAGCACTTCAGTTGTGAATGCTGATGAAGATTTAAGAAACAAACACAGCATGACCGGGACACTGTCTACTGTGACAAATTAATTGTTATTTGCACAAGATTATCATTATTTTGTTCACATTTCAAGGGCTTCGTGTTTGTCAGTCAATTTAGATTCAGTTAGAGACCATGTGAAGAGAATTTTATATATATTCAGCATATTGAAGTATTATTATTATAATAGATTATTTATTGATATGGTATTATATTTGTATTTTCTGGTAAGAGATTCTGTGTCATTATGTGGAAAGTCAATGTGAAGCACATCCAGTCTTTTTTCTTTATATATATATATATGTGTATATATATATATATATATATATATATATATATATATATATATATATATATATATATATATATATATATATATAAAGTAATAAGACTTACTGAAAATGGGAAGAAGCTATTTCAAGGTCTCAATTTTGTATGCTATTTATTTAATGAATACAGGAGTCTTTGAGTGTATAACTTCCTAGTTTCCATAATGAATCAAAGCTAATGTAGGTGTTAGATGAATTCAACCTGTGTAATACTGTAAGTTGAATAATGAATCGAACTGCAGACTATTAGGTGTGAAATTGTCACCAATGACATATATATATGATATGTATTTTTGATCTGATGTACATCTGGCAGACCTTTGCTTTTTAGAAATCATTTATTTATTTTTTTTTTTTACTTCCTTTTTTTTTCTTATTTCTTTTTCTTTTTTTTCCCCTTTTTTATTTTTTTACTTTCTTTTTTGGCATGAATTTTGTGAAGTTACAGATCAAAGTATGTAACTTCGTGACCCTATCATATGTAAGTTTGTATGTATGTTTGTGAACAGTGATGTTGTCATGTAGACATGCAACCAAGATAGAGTTGCAAAAGTACAATCATGAAAAGAGGCTAAATATCAAATATGTATCACAGTTTTTTTTTAGGACCAAAAAGTTAGATCTGAACTTCCTCAGTTGCCAAAAAGCAAAATTGTGTCACCTATTTGATGTTTATGCTTTCATTTTGCTTCCATTATATAGAGGGTAGAATAAGTGTATAGATGTCAGATCAGCTTTTTCGGGTTATTTAAAGAAAGATTGTGGCCTGTCTGGATAGGGTAATGTATTTGCTGTTGACTAGGTGAGAGTATTTAGGTTAGAAGTATATTGTGATAGGGTATTATCTCATATCATGTTTTAGAAGACTGAGACTGTTTTACATTACATACAGTGTCGTATGGAACACATTTATCTTGCAAGTTACATTATCCAACATGGTATTTCAAAGGTTGAGTTATTGCAAAATGCGAATATAGTCAGTAGATTTATTTTGTTATCAACAGAGAACAGTGTAAGCACACCTCATCTGCAATGATTATCCAATATTCTCAGATTCATAGGTTCATATTTTGAATAATCTGGATGGATGCAACTAGTGATTCCACAAAAGAGTCTGTATAGTTTGCTAAAAGGGAAAGTAAGGTATTTGAACAAGGAGAAGCTTTGTTGTCAGGAAATCATTGAGTGTCCCTTTCTTTAAGTGTTGCTCCCCCAATTTTTGTTTTGGAAGTGTGTGAAGAGATGAATGAACTATAAGAGAATTATGTAAATGTTGCCAAAAGCAAGATTCTAACCACTGTAAAATGATCTTGAAGAGTCTTGGTCATTAATAGTTTATCTAATGTACATAAGCATGAATATTGCATATTTATCTTTTTTCATAAATTTTCAAAATTATTGGTATCATTCAGGTTTTCCATGTTCTTTTTGATCTATGCCTATTCTCCCTGAATGATAATGATAATGAAAATATGTTTCCAGAAATTTACGAAATGATATGACACCATATTTATAATATGATGATTGCTGAATTAAAAAAAAACTCTTCTTATTGATTACTAATCTTTAAAAACTGGAAGCCAAAGGAAATGATCCGTACATTCCTTGGATTGATTCTAGTCAGGTGATAAGCAGTTTGTTATAAGTATAAGGTAAGATTGATGAATAGTATTTCTTCAGATATTTATGAAAACTGATAGTTTCTATTATTGTAGATTTGTAGAGTTAAGAAGTTGGGATAGATACATGAATTGATGATGACTGTCAGATTTATATATATGATTTACATAATTTTATTGAACTTAAAGGTAGTACCTTTTTTTTCTTTTTTTTTGTATATAAGGGTATTTTGGTCAGGAAAAAACTTTTTTTTCTAACATGTAACAAAGAGGAGGGAACATAGTAAAATGATGATAATAAGACTTAAAGGGAGGTACTGGGTAGGTAACGAGAAGTAGTTTGATATTGAATGTGAAACTTTCTTTTAAGCAGGACCTGATTCTCAGCCATTTTATCCCTCCCTTTAAAATGCTTTTTAGCTGTCTCAAAAAGTGTGTGCCTCTGTAAATTCAATGTTACATGTGAAAAGAAAAGTTCCAGTCCTCCCTATCATGGTGGTGTATCAATGCAACTCATTCCTGTGTATCAGCATATAAGCCAAGCATCTCTCCCTTTACTGGATTACATATTGTTGTTTATTGTTGTATATTGTTTTGTTTTTTTAAGTGGATGTACTATCTGAAAGAATTATGATTTTTTTTTTCTTTTTTTAAATAAATAGAAAGCCACTCGATATTTTTATTTGTATTCGGGTGAGGGGTTATGATCAGAATATAAAAGTTCTCATTCAAATACTGTTACACTACCTTGATCTCACAGCCAAACTCACTCACATACATAAAGATTTCTTAGACTAACATTACCACAGAAGCACAAGTACTCACCCACACTCACATTTACAAACATGTTCTCATACATTTACACACTTACTCTCACAAACACTCATATTTTTTCTTCCATATATTCTGTCATTTATTATATAAGCTGCCAAAAATTAGGTATCAGTACCTTGATTTTATTATCATCATGAGTTTGGTATTTGCAAATAAAAGTAATTTATTGCATGGAAGTTGATTAATGTCATTAACAGTTCCATATATTCTGTCATTTATTATATAAGCTGCCAAAAAGTAGGTATCAGTACCTTGATTTTATTATCATCATGAGTTTGGTATTTGCAAATAAAAGTAATTTATTGCATGGAAGTTGATTAATGTCATTAACAGTATACATAGTATGTACCTATGGTCTTCAATGCAGCTGATTTTGTTTGATTTTTTTTGTTTTATCAAGTAATCAAAATTCTTTTTGGTTTGGACTAATACTTGTTTACCTTTTATAATATGCTCAATTTTCTTTTATAGAAATAAGTGTGATTAGTAATAAAATTATTCAGGGGAAATTTACTTAAGAGTTTTTTTTTTTGCATGTTTTTCAAATATCTCAATAACATATTTCAAGACTGAGAAACTAAATTTATTGAAAGTCGAATGGAGCTTTGTGTAGTATTGTCAGTAAAGTAACTTGGTACGAGTATGACTATATGTATTTCCTAGAATATATCTCTAGTAGATATACTTAGGAGGTGATAAAGGATATTTTCTTTGTTCTGATTTCCTGCAAATGTCTTTACTGAATAATTTAAGTGATTGGCTGATTGGGAATATGAATATAATCAGGAAAGTAAATCGTCCACCAAGATTATAGTCTTTCGATATTTAGTTTGGATTTCATGTAGGATTTTCTTACCATGGGAACATGAAGCAGGATGTTTAGGCCTCAAACTTACATCTTACAGTTTAGCCGAATGAAGGATTAGTTTTAATTTAAAGATAGTGAATCACAAGCTGTACTTATTACACCTGCATTTTTTTTTTTTTTAAGATTCATTATTCATGAAAGTAAGAGGTTTCCTAAGTCAATATACTAAGATGTGTTTTTTCTGCTATAAAACCTGTAGAACTTTTCCCCCCACAAAATATTAGGGCTGTTTATTTTTGCCTACCATAGATTTGCTCCTAAGTGTTTGTATGGCCATTTGATGTGGTGTAAATGTACTCATTAAAAAAAAAGTTGTGTTTTTTCTGCTATAAAACCTGTAGAACTTTTCCCCCACAAAATATTAGGGCTGTTTATTTTTGCCTACCATAGATTTGCTCCTAAGTGTTTGTATGGCCATTTGATGTGGTGTAAATGTACTCATTAAAAAAAAAGAAAAAAAAAAAAAAAAAAAAGAAACCCAAGTTTAGCATTTAATGTTTATGGCTATACATGTGCACACCTTTGAGAGCTCAGCAATGTAGCAAAATAATTCCATGGTAGCAGTGGCTATTATTTTTAGTCAACAGGTAACAGCAATTGGATTACCCTGATAATTTTGTTTGTCTTGCTCAAATGTATTCCCTGGCCTTGTAATTTTTTTTTTTTTTTTACTAGTTCACGTTGCATTAGAACTATTTATTGCACAAAGGTCTTTGGTTTACTTAGCAGTATATATTGTTGCAAAAACAAATGACAGATTTTTGTTTTTCTTTTAACTTGTACACATATATATGCTTAAAATATTTTGAGTTTTATACCTAGCCTAATTTCAGAGCATATTGCTTGCTTGTACTACTGTTTGCAAATGAAGAACCAGATGAAATGGGTGTCTGATTATCCTTCGATATTTTAAATTTTTATCTGAATTAGCCATAAACTGGCAAATATTACCAAATATGTTACTACTTTTACAGGATTTCTAGAATTTCCTGTATTAGGACAAAAGGAAGGAAACCATTTCAATGTAATATTTTCCTTTATTACAAAAGAAATAAAAAAGCACTTTCATACATGATTTTTCTTCCATGATATAAATTAAACAAAACCTACTTTTTGTTTTCATAAATAAAAATCATTTAGTTAACATCTGTAAATTTGTGATTTTCAGTAATAGACAAATAAAAAGTGCTTTCTATCTAAAGTAGTGTAAAATTATGGTTGGTACCTCAGGTCCCTTTTCCACTTCTGCACATCAAAAATAAGCATCAATTTCTCGATGAAAATCTTTTATACAAATTGCACTCCAATTAAAGGAGTAATTAACAGGCAACATCAGTAATGAAATTCTTATGTACAGTTAAGTTGAACTCAAAAACTTTTTTTTATATACTTTTATATTATTCTCTTTCTTACCTACCCCATTATGGGGTGAGGGAGGGATGGGTGGAGAAAATATATTTACAAGACTTTAAAAAAGTTTCTCTGCTTCCTCTCAAACAAAGGATTTTTTTAGTTTTTTCTTTCTTAAAAAATAAATCCAGTTCTGATGGAATATGCAATAATAATGTCTTTATACAGCATGCTTTCCATCTCACAGCCCATTCACCAGATGGTTTTATGGAAATAAATCCTCTTTTTATCCATGTGTCTGATCGTCTTCCACAAAGTCGTACGCCTCTTCTCTTGAGACACACTCCACATGGGACACTTTGTTCCTGAACTTGACACCATAGAATTTGTTGGCATGTTCAAGCAGCTCTGGTCTGAAAGTTGTGGTGATGAACTGCGCATCCTTGCTAAGTTCATGGATCATGTCAGCAACTGCTTTTCTGTGTTGAGCATCAAGTGCCTGTTAAGGAAAAAGAGTAAAATATGGAAGTTAGTTTACACATAATCAATAGAAGAGAAATGCTTAATACTCATAAAACCACTTTTTCAAACTGAACAAACAATAAGAAAGCCTGGTAATACTCCCAGACATTTTTACCTGATCAATTTCATCAAAAAGATAGAAGGGGGCAGGGTCGCACTTCTGAATGGCAAAGATAAGAGCCAGAGCCACAAGAGACTTCTGACCTCCAGACAACTGGTTCATCTCTCTCATCTCCGCATTCCGGCCAGTGAAGGACACCCTGATGCCTACACCAGTGAAGTTGTCAACAGTTCCCTGTTCTTCTTGCTGTTGTTAAAAGAGAGGCAATGATACATTTATCTGCCAAATATACTACTAGTCAATGGCAGTTCCAGTGAGAAACATGTCTCAAATGGTTAAAGCTGCATCAATCAATGGCCAATATCCTCTGAACTTCCCGACAATCTATATCTTTACTTACCTCACTTTCTTCATCTTGGTCAGACTTCATAACGAGCTGAGCATGTCCCTGAGGAGCAAGCTTCTTGAAAACCTCACTGAAGTACTTTGACACTTGCTTGAAGGTAAACTGGATGGCTTCATATTTTCGATGTTCTAAAACACTCATCAACTCCTTGATCTTGTCATAACTGGAAATACATACATCTATTAAATAAAAGTGATTATAACAACATTGACAATTTCCTTTCTCATCAATATTTATTCCCAAAGATTAGACATGCTAGCCAGTATTGCATCAAGACTTTACCCTCTATCCAGCTCCTCTTTCCGAGAAACCAGCTTTTCCTTCTGCTCAGAGAATGATATGAACTGGTCCAAGGCCTTTTTGTTGACATGGGAGTATTTCTTGAGCTCTGTGTTTGCAGTCTCTAGTTTCTTGAACAACTGCTTTGTTGCCAGATTCTGAGAGAGAATAGAATGCTCATTACAACTGCATACTCTATTTCTTACTAATATAAACCAAATATAGGTTTAGAGTGTTTCAAATAACAGCAATCTATTTACAAAATAAAACACGAAACAAAAATACAATATAAAATACCTGGTATTTGTCAAAGGCATCGGAGGGCAAGGAGCCAAGGTCCCTGATCTTTTTGGTGCACTCATCAATCTTCTGGTGCAGAAGATTCTGTTTGGATGCCATCTTTTCCAAATCCTTAGCATCCTCTTCCATACGTTCCATTACTTCCTTTTCTTTTAATTTCAGTTTTTCCAGCTCGGCTTTTAAACTCTGGAATATAATGAAAAGTGGTTTTAGAGGTCTAGGACCAAATTTGCTTCTCTCAACACACTATTTCAAATCCAATTCATCTTTCCTAAGGATATGGGAAACACTGAAATAAAGAAAAACTAACAAGAAATAAATAATAACAGATGTATAAGAACTTGAAAAATAGAGAAAAAAGAATGAACAAGTACAGAGCAACTGAATAATTCCTCTCATCAAGCAGTTGACACTTTTCTTACCTTTTCCTTTTTCTGATGTTCAACCACTTTCTTCTCCACTTCCTTGAACTGGACAGCTACTTCCTCGATGCGTGAATCCACTCTCTGGATCTCACTTTGACTGTGCTCTAGCTGACGTTTGCGGTCCTCTACAGAGATTTCTTGGAGGGCCTTGAAGTAGTAATAGTAAAATAATTATTAAATTTATCTTACTATTATTTTTTTTAAACAATAAACCAAGACAATATGTGTATATATACATATACATATACATATACATATACATATATATATATATATATATATATATATATATATATATATATATATATATATATATATATATATATATATATATATACATATACATATACATATACATATACATATACATATACATATACATATACATATACATATACATATACATATACATATACATATACATATACATATACATATACATATACATATACATATACATATACATATACATATACATATACATATACATATACATATACATATACATATACATATACATATACATATACATATACATATACATATACATATACATATACATATACATATACATATACATATACATATACATATACATATACATATACATATACATATACATATACATATACATATACATATACATATACATATACATATACATATACATATACATATACATATACATATACATATACATATACATATACATATACATATACATATACATATACATATACATATACATATACATATACATATACATATACATATACATATACATATACATATACATATACATATACATATACATATACATATACATATACATATACATATACATATACATATACATATACATATACATATACATATACATATACATATACATATACATATACATATACATATACATATACATATACATATACATATACATATACATATACATATACATATACATATACATATACATATACATATACATATACATATACATATACATATACATATACATATACATATACATATACATATACATATACATATACATATACATATACATATACATATACATATACATATACATATACATATACATATACATATACATATACATATACATATACATATACATATACATATACATATACATATACATATACATATACATATACATATACATATACATATACATATACATATACATATACATATACATATACATATACATATACATATACATATACATATACATATACATATACATATACATATACATATACATATACATATACATATACATATACATATACATATACATATACATATACATATACATATACATATACATATACATATACATATACATATACATATACATATACATATACATATACATATACATATACATATACATATACATATACATATACATATACATATACATATACATATACATATACATATACATATACATATACATATACATATACATATACATATACATATACATATACATATACATATACATATACATATACATATACATATACATATACATATACATATACATATACATATACATATACATATACATATACATATACATATACATATACATATACATATACATATACATATACATATACATATACATATACATATACATATACATATACATATACATATACATATACATATACATATACATATACATATACATATACATATACATATACATATACATATACATATACATATACATATACATATACATATACATATACATATACATATACATATACATATACATATACATATACATATACATATACATATACATATACATATACATATACATATACATATACATATACATATACATATACATATACATATACATATACATATACATATACATATACATATACATATACATATACATATACATATACATATACATATACATATACATATACATATACATATACATATACATATACATATACATATACATATACATATACATATACATATACATATACATATACATATACATATACATATACATATACATATACATATACATATACATATACATATACATATACATATACATATACATATACATATACATATACATATACATATACATATACATATACATATACATATACATATACATATACATATACATATACATATACATATACATATACATATACATATACATATACATATACATATACATATACATATACATATACATATACATATACATATACATATACATATACATATACATATACATATACATATACATATACATATACATATACATATACATATACATATACATATACATATACATATACATATACATATACATATACATATACATATACATATACATATACATATACATATACATATACATATACATATACATATACATATACATATACATATACATATACATATACATATACATATACATATACATATACATATACATATACATATACATATACATATACTTTGCCTTTGTATTCAGGAAAAATTTCCATCTTTCTTAAAAGCATTACAGTGTTTGTAATTGATAAATTATAATTAAACACAATATTGCCATTAATAAGCAAACACCCTCCTTGTAAGAGTAACCATGTTAGGTGCTACTTTCAACAATTTAACAAAACATCTTGATACTCACTTTGCTTTGCTGTTCTTGATCTCCGTCTTTTGCATTTCAGACACTATCTTGTTGATTTCCTGCTCTGTGTTTCTAAGGGTGTCCTGTAGCGTCCTGAGCTCTGTTTCTGCCGATGTGATCTGGTCGCGCAACTCTGATCTCGCCTTCTGGATTTCCAGGCGTGATCTTGAGGTGTTGAAGTAGCCACCAGTCAAGGAACCTTTGCTGGATACCTGAGAAGAGGGAAAAATTTAATAAATCTTCTGGAAGAGCGGTCTTGTCAACACATCATATATTTATAACTCAATGTTTTATGAATATACACTTATTGTCCATTCACAATGAAATCAATGGGCAGCATATGTTAAATTTAGACACTTGTGCTGCATACAGCATGGAAATTGCCTGTTTAGGGAAGTTTTGAGTGACTAATAAAAAATTACATTATAATTTTCTAATTGCCTTTGAGGAGAGGAGGAGAACGCTGCCACAACAATACTGATTTGGTCACTAAGCAGCAATCTGTTACTTAAGTTACTGGTTACTTTATCTCATACTATAGACCTTTCCATTATATGCCCAAGTTTGATAGTGCTTTTGAAACCATAATTTCTGATAGATGTATAAAAGCCTGCATGCATTTAAATGAGAAGGTAACTAACAACATATATTCTCTGAGTATTGTTGAAAGACACATGTAGCCGAGTTCTACCTCTTGATCTCCTGTGTCACAAGTCTAAGTTGAACACTCACAGCCCACTGACCTTTGCCCCTCCACCTTATATCACAACAAGCTAAAATGAACTTAATTCAAACCAACCTGATCACCATCAAGTGTCACACAATCCAGTCGAGTTGAGCGGGCAAGATGTGTGGCCACCTCTAGATTACGGCAGATGAGGGTGCGTCCGAAGATGTACTTCAGCGCTTTGAGGTACCGGTCTGAATAGGTAAGCTTGCTCACCATGGGAATGGCATCCTGATAGAAGAAAATAATTGAGTCATTGTTCTGTGTTAATTCAAAGAAGTTCCCAACCTTACTGTACAATAAATCTCACTATATTATCTTGCAAACCTGTTCTTTGTAAAAGGAAACAGAAAAGATGTATAACAATAATAGCAAATAATTTAAATCAAATAGATAAATCCTACATAATTTGCAGTGACATTGAAGAGACAATTACTTACGTTTGTTTGTGGATAATCAATATCCTTGACTGTCAATCTGTTGAGAGGCATGAATGTCACTTCTCCAGGTAGCTTTTGTTTGTTCATCTCCTTTAAGATTTGTGTGCCAATCTTATCCGACTCCACAATGTGATGGAATAATCTGTGGAACAATGACATTAATCAAAAGGTAATTTACAAAAATAATGAAGGTAGTCTGTCTTTGTGCATATCCCCTAATTACATTAAAAAATAAAGTCTGGTGTCATTTTCTAATCATACCGTTTTTAGAATTGATATCATTTAAATCTTCAATGCACGGAAAACGATTTCAGTCGACTCACTTGTTGCCAGCTGTGACCTCTACGGCCGTGTAAATGGACCTCTCGCACTCAAAGTTCTCGATCAGAAGACCATAATACTGTGTGGCAATCTCCCCAAGATGACCTCCACGTTCCCGAAAAGTGTCTAGCACCTTCTGCACGCTGTCTCGACCATTTAAAATGGGCTGAAATTAAGGAAAGACAAAGAGGTAATGAAAATCAGAAAACAGAATTAAAACTCATTAATTTACCATCATCACTTGAGGCCATGATCTAAACACTTTCAAATTTCTGTTGGTGCCTTACCTTGCCGGCCATAGATCGAAGCGACTGGTCTGCTCTTGACAGTTCCTCCTTCAGAGTGCTCACATTCTGCTGAAGATTGTTCTCCTTGCGCCAATGCTCGCTGTGGAACAAGATATTGCTTTAGGTTTTTTCTTTTCTTTTAACAAGGATATTTCAGATACTGATCAAGATAAGAAAATGAATTTGTATTCTTGGGAGTTTAATTAATCATTTTGCATATTTATATATTTTACAAAGAACTTAGACAATTTTTTTTTTTTTTTTTTGATTCCTAAGATATTACAAAATAGATTCTTAAAAATAAATGGTGCAAAGCAAAAATAAGAAGGTGCACAATTAACATTAACTAAAGACATGAATGAAAACTTCAACACACTGGACAACACATTCTGGATTAATAACACACATGCAGAACACAGGACAACTATGTACACCAGACAAAACAAGTGCAAAATGAAAATATCACTTGGACAGAAAACACTAAACTTGGACCTCAAAAGAAGCACTCTGAAATTCACCTTGGCATTATGACAAGCAAATCAATTTACATAAATAAGCTAACTTTTCCCTTGTTCCTTGAAAGAAGATTTTTTGCTGACCTTTGTTTATGTGAAGTTAATTTGTCTTCAAAATTAATGATATATATTTCAAGAAAGAATAAAGTTATATCCCCAAAAACTATTCAGCATTTTCATCAGCTTTTTGTGAATTAACATACTGACAAAACTCAATTATTCTGGGAAGTTAAGCTACAGCCATGTCAGGTGAAAGATCACAACTACTAAGAATTGAACAACTAAAAACATTAGCTCTATCAACAAGACAAGCACAAGACACAAAACAAAGAAAAAATGGTCAATCAAAAGTGAACCTCCTGGTGTAGTAACAGCTGCGTAAACAAGCCTCTCGCTGGCACAAAGATTCCCCCGTTAAACGAACTTGTTCCCACATTTTCTGGCTCTCTAGTTTGTTATCCTATGGAGATGCAATTTATATCATGACAGTTTAGTGAAAAAAGACAAGAGGTAGTTTGGAGGCCGAGTTATAATGAAAACTAGAATTCACAAGTAAAAAGCCACCTACATAACACAGCACACCATAACATTATCTGTGGGGAATGAAATAACAAAAAAAATCAAACATTTCAAAAACTAAATGCACCAGTGTGTTTTGACAGAATTTTCGCGGGCAACAGCATTCCAAAAGTATCGTCATGCGCACTCCTGCATGTCTTCAAGTAAGAAAACTGAGACATGAAAAAGCAAATACATGCACGTCAATAACAATGGCACAGAACAGATGCATAATAAGAAAAGAGTAGAAACCACACACACAAGTATAAGCACAAGAAATGTATTCATTAAAGCATTGATATATAAAGGTCCTTCTCCATAATAGATGGTAGCACCTGAAAAGGACTCGCATTTTAAGGGCAATTCCAGCAACCAGGCTTAAGAAGCACATGCATATAGATATATATGAATATTTCCTCATTCCCATCTTACTTTCTCTCACTCTGTAACTGGTCTTTTCTCTTCTTCATCTCATAAAAGACTTTGTTGTGCTCATCAATACTCTGTCGGTAGTCCTCTGTGTCTGCAGAGAGTTCCTGAAAATAAACCAAGAAATAAAACAGTGCACACAAAGCACAAGCAGAAATACTACTTGCTATGCAAAGCTGATACAAATTTCATATTGATTAATATATCACTGCATATAAGACAACATTTCTTAAATTTCATACTAGAGAAATTGCCATCTTCTATTCCTATATATAACTGTCCTATATAATGAACAATCTTATGCTCTTTATAAACTACTTCAAATGTCACCAAACTTGAAAGTATTCACTGAATTTAAATTTAGCTATTTTTTAAATAATAAAAAAAAATATATATATATTTAGAAACCCATTTCTGCTCTTGTGAAGGCAAGAGATCTTCATATTGCTTCCAATATACCAAGATAAACAGGAGTCTTTAACTTACACTTACCTTTGGAAAGTAATAACAATAATTATACCCACCAAAGAATGTCTTTTGACACAAAAACAACATATGAATAAAGAAGTCTAGTTTCCACTGTGCTGGAAAAAATCACCAATTACCACAGAAACACCACCACTTACAATGAGCACATATCACTTCTAGCCAAACCTTCTAAAGTCCAGGTGCTAGACTGATCGTACACATACTATTTCCTCCCACAACATTGGCTTGTGGCATGAGCTTCCCCCAAGCTAACACCAATCCCAATATTATCTGCACACACTAACACTAGTTGTTCAAAGAGCACAATTTGGGTGATCACAGATTTTATATTCTCATGCATTAGTCAGTGTGATTCAAAATGGGTTAATTCCATATTCTGCCACCAGATTCATTTGCACGTAAACCGCACTACATCCACCACCTAAGGATAATTAAATGCCAATTTTACTGCCTGCTTTGCCCCCACTACACCTCCGTGCAAGAGGATGGAAAGCTGAGAAAATAACTTCCCTTATGACTGGCAACCTACCACAATGAAATATTTTTCAAAAAGCTCAAAATTATTTTAAGTTCCTCTATACATTTCTCATATAACAGAGAAAACTAAAAAGTAAACAAGTAAACGAATATACCAACCCATGCAGACATTATCACTTATGATTTCACTCTAAGGACAAAACCACTGTAATTATTTGATATATTTACTAGATAAATTACCTTCCCCTAACCCTTTAACAATATATCAAAAACAGGTAACAAAAACCTCCTTTCCATCCTCTTCCAACTATTGTATACCAATCAGTGTCTGATTTCTCCCTGGCATCCATGCATCTCCTACCTCGACTTTCTTATCAAGCTGTACTCTCCGTTCAGAATCACGCGAAATTTCATCTTCCAGCCGTTGAATTTGGTCCTGCTTAGACTTCACGGCCTTGTTGAGAGACCTGGACAGGAGGATGGTAGGACAAGGAAGGGGGGGGGTGTGTAAGGGAACAGGAAAAGGATAGGTGACGGAGGAGACAAACACCTGACGTTAACGATGATTTGGTGGAGCTTTTCTATGCCTTTTAAAATAATGATTTTTGGAATAATGATGGTGACTGATGTTGAGCAGGGTGTGATTTGGATGAGAGAGGCTGTCGATGGCTTGTGATGATTTCTTCTTTTGATATTTGTGTCTGGTTCAAAAATTGGGGGAGTAAATATACAGCAGGAAGGATACATGTTTACATAATCATACATGGAGAGTTACTCTGATCCAAGACAATAAGAGGTGTAACATCCAGCATCATACAGACATCTCACTACCATATCAAGCTTCCTGAAATACAAGGGTCATGCAGAAATTACATATGAGGAAAAAAAAAAAAGGGGGGAGAAAAGTAAAAGCAATCATGCACTGTCTTTAAAATGCAATTCAGTAATCATTTTTAGGCAGCAACATCTGCCATAAAAGTAGAAAGAGGCAAGAAAGGGAGAAAAATAGTAAAGGTAAGGAATTATATATATACATTAGAAGCAAGCACCCAAAGCCTGAAACAAACCATACCTATCAGTAGTGACTCTTCAGACAACAACAACAACAAAAAAAAGATGTGGCATTCTCAAAGCACGAAGGTTCCCAAATGGGTAAGGTGAGGGCCAGCTACCTGCCATTGACTTCCCTCTCTGTATCTACTGACAAAAGGTGACCTGAAATCTTGAGTATCTCAATCGTTTCATTGAACATTTGAATATCTGGTCCTAAAAATAAAAGGATGCCACCTCAACAGGCTCTGTAAAATGAACCTGAGGTCCCACATTCCCTCTTTATAACAAAAACAATAGATAAAAATAAAAACTTAAAGGAAAAAAAGGCATTCCAGCTTTTATATAAAAGAAAGCAATAGGAAGATTCAAACAAATAAAATATGACTGATAAAATGTAAAATCAAAGTAACAACGTAAGTAAATGGGAGGGAGGGAGGGGGGAAAAGAGAGAGAGAGAGAGAAATGACAGGGGGAGGGGGGACTTCCATTAAAAAGAAAGACAAATAAATAAATAAAAATGAAAATAAATAAATAAACAAATATATATATATATATATGTACACACTGCAACATAAATGTAGCAACAACAATAATAAAAAGTGCCTAATCTAGACACATTTGTTTCTTCCTTCCTTAACTTATTTAACTTACCTTTAGCATATGCGGCCATCTATTCTGACTTGACTTATACTTAAAACTATTACTATTTGTAAACATGTATATGCTTAAGACTGTCCAGAAAGCATGAAGACATTCATCAGAAGCCTAAAAGTGCTTGAAGGCAAAAAACTTTAAAGATGTGACACACACACACAAGACAGTTCCTAACACATACACATCTCTACAAATGTATTAATTCCATGACAAAAAGACTAACCCTGATATTAATACAACCAAAGCCTGGGCCTTCAATACCATACAATGAAAAGCTGTAAGAAAGCACAAAGACACCCGAGGCAAATAACCCCGAAGCATCTTCCGTCCCTAGCTTTACCAAGTGAAAATACCAACCTGCAATCTTTTCTCTAATTCTTTGTTCCGTTCCCCATCTCGATTTATCTCCTCATCAAGCCGCTTGATTTGGTCCTTTTTTTCACTCATCGCGCGTTCTATCGATCTGCAACAGGGAAGAAGAAAGGGACTAGAATACACTGCCGCTTGTATGGGCCTTGCATCTCTTTCTTTCTCTCTGGCACCCAACCCCAACTATGGGGAGGCGGTAACTTTCTCTCTCAAGAAGTTAATGGAAATAACTTTTCATGAACGAATGTATGAACGTATAAGTCCCTTTCTCCAACCCTTTCAGACCACGGGTGAACATTCGAATGAGTGCTAACCGTTCAACAACTACCTATTGGGGGTTAAGGATGGTTTGGAAACCGACCGATGGTTTATGCATCTTGGGCCAATCTTCAATAAGGCAAGTTTCCCTTCTGTTGCACAGGAAAAAAAGGCCTTATTGGAGCAATCTCTAAAGCTGCATACTCCATCTCTGTCACTTCTTTTGAATTATGAAGTGCTATTGTCCAACTGCGATGCCTCGGTGTCACTGCACCTTTGGAACAGGTGAGGATCCATGGCGGATTTCTGTACAGTACTTACATTTGTGCGGCAAAATGGCATTAAACATCCTGAACACCAGAAAAAAAAAAAAAAAAAAAAAAAAAAAAAAAAAAAAAAAAAAAAAAAAAAAAAAAAAAAAAAAAAAAAAAAAAAAAAAAAAAAAAAAAAAAAAAAAAAAAAAAAAAAAAAAAAAAAAAAAAAAAAAAAAAAAAAAAAAAAAAAAAAAAAAAAAAAAAAAAAAAAAAAAAAAAAAAAAAAAAAAAAAAAAAAAAAAAAAAAAAAAAAAAAAAAAAAAAAAAAAAAAAAAAAAAAAAAAAAAAAAAAAAAAAAAAAAAAAAAAAAAAAAAAAAAAAAAAAAAAAAAAAAAAAAAAAAAAAAAAAAAAAAAAAAAAAAAAAAAAAAAAAAAAAAAAAAAAAAAAAAAAAAAAAAAAAAAAAAAAAAAAAAAAAAAAAAAAAAAAAAAAAAAAAAAAAAAAAAAAAAAAAAAAAAAAAAAAAAAATAAAAGCTAAGTAACCATATTCCAATGAAAACTAAATCAGACAAAGCACATTATAATCCCATAAGATCGTATATTATTATCATCACCAGATCTTTTGGCGCAGTGGTGGGCCGGGCTAGGATACCTTCCCATCACTTAAATCAAGACTGAAACAGGTACAGTATATAATCTAGTATTGTTGATCCAAAAAGGAAGTAACAACCAACGAATGATAGCTATTTTGCCTCAAATGCAGCTTCAAGGACCATCTTCCCTTATCCACCACTGATCTTGAAACCGTTCACCTTTTTGGGAAACGAATTTCAACTCTCGCTCTCAAAGAGGTGACATAACCAAGTGAGAAAATAAAAAACGGAGACCCCCAAACGGTACTTTTGTATAAATATATATATATATATGACTTATCTGAATGGGATGCAACAAATCTATTCCTCCAACAAATTAAAAGAAAAAAAGTAAAAAAAATTCTTCCTTACTCCCCTATCTGTTGCTGAAAGGGCTGAAAATTTGGGAATGAACAAAGCACAAGCCCGTGTGACAAGGACAAAGTAGGAACATGGCTCATCAAATCACCACTCTCTATCACCTTGTCAGACAGGAAGAAGCAGCAAAGCTCATGCAATGTAGCCATGCAATAAACAAATAAAATGAATAAATAAAATAAAATAAAAAGATAAAACAAAAATAACTGGTCAATAAGTAAACAACAAAAGAATGAAGCAAGCAAAGAGGACAGCCTGTAGTTTGCATAATGAGTAGCTAGCACCAGTGATCAATTCTGGATGGTAGAAGACGTACCTGAATCTCCCAAACGAGCGAGACAAGGCCACGAAGCAGGTGAGGATCCATGGCGGATTTCTGTACAGTACTTACATTTGTGCGGCAAAATGGCATTAAACATCCTGAACACCAGAAAAAAAAAAAAAAAAAAAAAAAAAAACTAACAAACAAATAAATGCAGACCATACCTTGTTTTCATGCCTGCATTTCCATATTAAGCATTCATTGTATTACATTCTCTTTCTGAACCATTCAAAATGTTATCAGTATCAAATGCTGATAAAAGTTCTAAATTACTAAAACCTTTCAGGCATTTTGAAGTAGGATTTCCCCCCCAAAATACTCTTGAGGATTCAAGTATCGTCATCATCGGCACTTTCCTTGGAAGGAGATTAAGAAAAAGAAAAGAGGAGGGGAAGTGGTGAGCTTAAACAGATTATGGAAGAGAACAGAGAAATAGCCAGAAACACTAACTCTACCACAAAAGAAGAGTGCTTATATATGATTGTTGTAGTGGTTAAGGTAGTCAACAGAACATAAATAATAGTAGTTTATACTATGGAAAACAACAGCAGTGCTTCTGATAATTGTTGAAGTGGCAGAAAAAAATGACAAAAGCAGCTCATAAGGCTAACCAAAAAAAAGGTGACAGGTATCACTACTTCAATATCACCATAATTTAAATATGTAACTGATAAATAATACTAAAAGAAATAAATAGTAAACTAATCACTGTTGTAATAGCAGTGATAGGATAGGTCAGTCAATCCCCAAGGTCAGTCAATGAAAATATATATATATGACTTATCTGAATGGGATGCAACAAATCTATTCCTCCAACAAATTAAAAGAAAAAAAGTAAAAAAAATTCTTCCTTACTCCCCTATCTGTTGCTGAAAGGGCTGAAAATTTGGGAATGAACAAAGCACAAGCCCGTGTGACAAGGACAAAGTAGGAACATGGCTCATCAAATCACCACTCTCTATCACCTTGTCAGACAGGAAGAAGCAGCAAAGCTCATGCAATGTAGCCATGCAATAAACAAATAAAATGAATAAATAAAATAAAATAAAAAGATAAAACAAAAATAACTGGTCAATAAGTAAACAACAAAAGAATGAAGCAAGCAAAGAGGACAGCCTGTAGTTTGCATAATGAGTAGCTAGCACCAGTGATCAATTCTGGATGGTAGAAGACGTACCTGAATCTCCCAAACGAGCGAGACAAGGCCACGAAGCAGGTGAGGATCCATGGCGGATTTCTGTACAGTACTTACATTTGTGCGGCAAAATGGCATTAAACATCCTGAACACCAGAAAAAAAAAAAAAAAAAAAACTAACAAACAAATAAATGCAGACCATACCTTGTTTTCATGCCTGCATTTCCATATTAAGCATTCATTGTTTTACATTCTCTTTCTGAACCATTCAAAATGTTATCAGTATCAAATGCTGATAAAAGTTCTAAATTACTAAAACCTTTCAGGCATTTTGAAGTAGGATTTCCCCCCCAAAATACTCTTGAGGATTCAAGTACGTCATCATAGGCACTTTCCTTGGAAGGAGATTAAGAAAAAGAAAAGAGGAGGGGAAGTGGTGAGCTTAAACAGATTATGGAAGAGAACAAGAGAAATAGCCAGAACACTAACTCTACCACAAAAGAAGAGTGCTTATATATGATTGTTGTAGTGGTTAAGGTAGTCAACAGAACATAAATAATAGTAGTTTATACTATGGAAAACAACAGCAGTGCTTCTGATAATTGTTGAAGTGGCAGAAAAAATGACAAAAGCAGCTCATAAGGCTAACCAAAAAAAGGTGACAGGTATCACTACTTCAATATCACCATAATTTAAATATGTAACTGATAAATAATACTAAAAGAAATAAATAGTAAACTAATCACTGTTGTAATAGCAGTGATAGGATAGGTCAGTCAATCCCCAAGGTCAGTCAATGAAACAAGTGCAGCAGTTGTTCAAAGTGTCAGCAACAAACCACAATTAATCATTCAACACATTAAACTTTTAAGAAGTGTTAGAAATTTCAAGATAAGTGACAGATAAAGAGAAAATGGAAGGTTATGGAATACATCCAGATGTGAAGACTGGAGCTTCTCTATCAGGACAGCGTTGCAACACCTTATAATTATAATTACTCTTTTACAAGCATTAATACTATTAACCCATCCCTTTGTAAGTTTGAAGTCAACCAGAATCTACAAAATGTTTTTATTTTCATCTCAAATGAATAAATATATAAATAAAAATATATAACTATTAAAGAACTGCATATGTGTATATATATATATCTAGCTTCATTAACCTGATAATTGAAGTTTAATATTAGTACTGAATCATCTGAATCAAATACAAATGGCTAGCCAAAAACAATCCAAAACAATTATTCTCTTTTGAGGTAAAATGTCATAATAAATATAAGAGTAATGGAAGTGGTAGTAGTAATAGCATTAATAGTGGTGACAAATAACAAACAGCAGTAACATTAACGATATCTAATAATAGTAATAGTAATAATAATACCAGTAAATATTAGAAGGCTTAAAAGCTGCTACCCAATAATTATCATCTATATCATTCATTTCCTATCACTTCATCCTAAAAAATCCACATTAAACCTTTCATGCCGAGATTTTATATTATGTAGTTTAATTACACAGATGGCTCCGTAAGTACTTAGTGACCATGGAGTCAAGCTTCTAACCTTTTTACCCCTTACCTTAAGTTTGAGTCTATTTTTAATTTCATAATGCTATTAGTTAATGCCAATAAAACTATAATAATCATTAATGTTAGTAATAATAACGTATAAGTCTATATGTATATATATGTATACATATACATACATATATGTATATATACATATACATACATATATGTATATATACACATACATATATATAAATATTTAAATAAATAAATAAAACACACACACACACTAATGTATATTAACTCTATGCCAAGGGGTATCAGAAATCTGAGCTTCATAAACTCTGGTGATTTCTGGCAACGTCCAGACCCTGGTCGCGGGAGTCCGCTACAAGTAGTGGACCTTCCTGCTCCACATGCTCTGGCGCGTCACCACGCATACAGCCATACCCCGCAGCCCAAGTGGAGTGTTATGGCGCTTGTACACGTGACCCGTTGGTAACGGATGGGTTAAAAAATAAAAGTATATAAATAACTTTGAATTACAATGATCATAAAGACTTCCATTTCATCTTAGACCTTTCATACCCCCTAAAAGTATTGTTTTTTCCCTGGATAAAAAGATAATAAATATATAAATAAACAAAAAATAAAAATGTAAATATAAATAAAATTTCTAATATAAAAATCAAATATTAACGGAAAAGATTGTATAATCAGTCTAACAAAAATAAATGCCAAAGAAAGAAATACTTATGGAAATAAATAAAAGTATAACAATACTAACTAAAAATAATAAACAAATAAAAAATAAAGTCACATAGTAACAATAATGAAGACATGGAACCTTAAAGTGTGTGGGAGCACTGATGGCAAAACATCAAAACAAATCCAGTGATAAGTGTGACATGTAGCCATGATTTTCTAGATTATGTTATGGTAGGATACTCATAATCTAACAGTATAGAAATGCAACAAAAATTAATAATGAACCACTGGCAATGCAAAGAAAATCATGCAGAAAACTTGCTATTATTCAAAAACAAAATACACACACACCAAACCAGTTACTAAATATGCCACATTTTTTCTTCTGGAAAAATTATTTGAGGAAGGGAAATAGAGAGGGAGTATGGACAGAGGGGGGAATACATATTCAAAGTTATATAAACATATAAAAAATAATGTACATATGCTAAGGGATAACTGCGAGGCCAACAAGAGCACACACAAGTATGACACCACACACAAACAGCCCTTGATCTACAACTACGAAGATGCAATTTTGTTGCTGCAAGGATCAAGCAGAAAACAGACATGTAGAAGGGAGCCTATTGGTGAAAATGATGTAATGACGTGATGATGATGGGCTTCATCTCTTCAGAAGTTAGAGTAATCAACATTTAAGAACAAAGCAAATTCTGTCATTTGACATGAATTTCCAGTGAAAACTGACAAAACTGAATGTGTGATCACTTCACTTCAGGAGAGACTGCTACAAAATGGATATATATATATACCATGGCAGAAAATGATTCAAAATATTTCTCCAAATGGAAATGATCTTCCAAGGCCATTAAAAAAAAAAATTACTTGGAAGGTATTTCAATATTTCAAACAAGAAAAATTGTGTAAGTATGAAAAAAACAGTAGATGATTTATACCTTAATTCCTTTTGGATCCACTGGTCACGCTGTTCCTTCGATGTGAACTGGCTCCCTCTACCCTGCTTGGCATACAGTTCCTTGCGCTTCTGGTCTTTCAAGGACAACCTATTGGAGAGGGAAAGAAAAAAATGAGAGTAAGAAATAAATTCCAGCCATATACAAGTCTAGAATGCTATAAACAATGGGCTATATCATAATCCTCAATACCAATCCCAAGGGGGTAGGGGGAGTTAGCGCAACACTTACTCTCGCTGTGCCTCATCTTCCCTCGCTTTCATTTCTTCATACTGAGGTCTGATGGCTTCAAGTTCAGCTTCTTTTTGAGATATAGTTGAGCGCAGTTTTTGTAACTCTTTCTCTGCTCTTTCTTTGGATTTGTTATCACCTTGTACTTCATCTGCTAAATCTTTTATTGTAAATTCCAATTTGGTCTTTTCTTTCAACAACTGCTGCTGTTCCATATTGAAGGTGTCTCTCTCCTCCTTGACCTAAGGTAAGAATAAAAATTGAGAGATGAATATGCATCTTTGGATAAATCAAAATGTATGAACACACCTATTCTTTAACATATATCTAACTTCTGTAGTACCTTTCCACAAATACAAAGAAAGGAGATACACAGGTAAACAAACGAAATCACTGGTTTTCTGTATACAAAATTCCTGAAACCTTTGATGAATTCGTGCATCACTTTCATTAATATATTACTTTGTCAAATTCATTTTAAAACCTTTTGTGATTCATAATCCTTGAATATTTTGTATAAATTTTCCTGTATGATGAACGAACCTAAAAATTGTCAGAGAAAAGTAACATAGAAAACACAAACTTACTTGTCCTAGCTTTTGTTTGATATCTTTCATTTCTTTGGAAGAGGTTTTGATAGCATCTTGAGCTTTCTGTAACTGTTGTCTTAACTTCTCTTGTTCTGCACCAGAGTTTTTCCGTTGGTTCTCCATCTGCAACAGACAAAATAAAAAGTCAGTACATGTTAACCTGATATAATGCTTACATAAGTATGTGAATGTGTGTAAGAAACACTTAATTGAACACCTGGTCCATTTCCAGCGGTCTAACATACTCTACCCATACTAAATGAAAGTAGAGAACAAATTCCAATACATAGGTCGCAAAGCTTAAAAAATAAAAAAGGTACAAGTGACAAAGGTGCACACTTACATCATCCAACTTTTTCCGGGTTTCCTTCAACTCCCTGTCGTGTATGGTGTACTCGAGGGCTCTTCGCATCTTATCGTACTTCTGGTACTCCTTCAGCTCTTCCTTTTCCTCCTCTAGGGTCTTTAATCGATCTTCAATTGTTCTTAAAAATTCTTCAATCTTTTCTCTCTTACTTTCAGTTTCTGCACGAAAAAGTATTGGGGCATTAGAAATGTTTATAATCCCATATCTACACATAGAACAATATATCCAATATTGCATAGCAAGTAGAATAGAGAACTGGCAGGGTTACACAAAAACGAATAATGTCAAATCACATGAAGTTGCCCCAAATCTATTACACGTGTGCAACAAAGGAATGCATTTCTTACCTCTTAAGATTTCTTTGGATTCTTCTCTTCTCTCATCGTACACACGTGTTCCAGCAACCTCTCTCAAGAGCTTCAATCTGTGCGAATCAGGTGCTGTTGCCATTTGGTTGATTTTACCCTATAAAGAGAGAGAATTTAGTAAAGATTTTGAAAAAGAGTGCACTGCATTATGCAACAGCAACTAAAATCATTCTTAATCAATGAAGACTGAGAGACCAAGATAGTTTACCTGTTTGACGATGTAGTAGGGATTAGAGCGAGAGAAACCAGCTGACTCCAGGAGGTTCATGACATCGAGCTTCGTGACAGCCTTCCTGTTGAGGAAGTACTGATCCTTCTTTGCCCCGATGACACGGCGGAGGCATACCTCATTCTTGTCAATCTGCAATGATAGAAGGATAAAGTGATATATTAGTGCTTATATAACTACTAGGCTCACTAGTAGTACTGATGGGAAACAAATGTATGTTATCCGATACAGGAAATTAAAAAAAGGGCAAAAATGAATTCATTCTAAGGATAACTCACGGGTATTCTGCCATCCTGATTGTCGAAGATTATCTCCACAAAAGCAGAGATGACGCGAGGGCCAGTACCCTCGTGGAGGAGGGCCTGGCGCTGCTCTGCACGCAGATGTGAGAACTCATCGCTCAACACAAACTGAATAGCTGTTGAGAAATGTTAAAGTTAAATATCTTTCATTTTATTTTGGAAGCATTTAAAAGTATCAATTGTCAAGATGGCACAAAATATTAAATAATGAATTTAGAGACAACAGTCCCTAACTTACCATAGAAGAAGTTACTCTTTCCCGATCCATTTCGCCCAACTGGAAATAGAAAAAAAGGGGAGTTATTTTCACACTTCATAAGACTTGTCTAAAGTTATTTTGCCTCACAGAATACAAAATCTTTGTTTTTAAGTCAAAAACTTCAGAAGGAATAGACATACCGACTACATTGTGCCGTGGGTCAAATGGATCAATAACCGTCTGTTCCCTGTAGCTCTTAAAACCTTGAATAATAATCTGAAAGAAATTAAATCTTCATTAGCTACAAATCAAAGGATTGTAATATTACAAAACAAATAAAATTACTCTCACTAAAGCTAGATTTCAAACTCATTTAACCAAAAAATTTCCTTTTCTTTTCCATAACCAATGAATGATTTCTTGCATTGATGAATAGGTTAGTGGAGGTTGGATCAACTAAATGAATAAAATTAATCTTGTACTCTAAAAAACTAAAAGAAAGGAATTTACCACACAGTCTCTGATATAATGAATGTCATGGCATTACTGTGTTGGTACAGCAAAGTATCAAGCAATTTTAATTCCATTTAAAATCAACTTAAAATTAGTGTCAACCCTTTTATGTCTAAATGTGTATAACCAATTCAACATACTATGTGGAACCACTAATACATACATACATACATACATACATACATACATACATACATATATATATATATATATATATATATATATATATATATATATATACACACACACACACACACACACACTTATATATTAGAGAGAGAGAGAGAGAGAGAGAGAGAGAGAGAGAGAGAGAGAGAGAGAGAGAGAGAGAGAGAGAGAGAGAGAGAGAGAGAGAGAGAGAGAGAGGGGGAGAGAGGGGGAGAGAGGGGGAGAGAGGGAGAGAGAGGGAGAGAGGGGGAGAGAGGGGGAGAGAGGGGGAGAGAGGGGGAGAGAGGGAGAGAGGGGGAGAGAGGGGGAGAGAGGGGGAGAGAGGGAGAGAGGGAGAGAGAGGAGGGAGAGAGAGGAGGAAGGGGAGGAGGAGGAGGAGGAGGGGAGAGAAAAGGAGAGGAAAGGGGGGAGAGAGAGAGAGAGAGAGAGAGAGAGAGAGAGAGAGAGAGAGAGAGAGAGAGAGAGAGAGAGAGAGAGAGAGAGAGAGAGAGAGAGAGAGAGAGAGAGAGAGATAAACAACTGCAATAACTGCTACAATGTGCAAAATCATATTTGCCCATAAACAGAAGGTAGACTAGGGCAATTTCAGCTGAACATTTTGATAACACACAGCTTCAGACAAAGCACTTTTCTGCGTTTTTGAATCTACATGCTACATGTCATTCCTTTCACACACAACTATTGGATATTAGAACAGTAAATATCATTTCAAGTTTACGTCATGTCAAATAGTTTACCCAATCTGACTGAATACCAACTCTCCTAGGACAATTTTGGGGACCTCTAGGTAACTAATGGTTACATTAACACTAGTAACCATTAGTTACTAGTGTTAATGTGTTATGATCATACTTTTTTTGATTATCTAAAAAAGTATAATAATCTTTTACTTTCCTGGGTTAATGCCCCAACATACTGACATATTGGGGTCAACCTCAGGGCAGAAAGGAACCGGCCATCCTACAGTTCAGGAAGCATGTTTCTTAATGAACATGTCACATATGTCCACTTGGATATGGGACCAACTAACTTTTATACATTAGTAATGAAGTACACCTCCATTTTCTAACTCTAATCACAAACACATTCATAGCTGTTCTGAATGGGATAGCATCGCATGACACTAACCCCCAGTGAAAAAGAGATAGCTACCAACTGCTTTAGTGCAAATCTACATACAAATATTACACATTTGGTATGTCATCAGACCCTTACCTCTCCTATAAGATTAAATCAGCCTTGCCATCACCCTTTCCTGCCTCGGCCTACTCTGCAATGCCAACTTGTCTAACCCGTTAATGCCTGGCCATGTGTAACACCCAGTCTAAGATACTGAGAGATTTTTAATACTGTCACTGATGGATTAAAATGTGGACTGATTGTTATTCTTCCTTGCTGATTACTACCCAAAATTTCACCAACCTTCCTTTAAATTTATAAAATAGGTCTGTGCATCAACATTACATTTGGTTGTCAGCAGACTGCCCTCTATGTACGCTAACCAAATACATCTGTAACTACCAACAGAATTAACAAGCAAGCACAAGAATGGCAGAGAAATCCTGGACTGAGCGTGCAGCCGGGTGATGATGTCACTTGGCGAAGTCTATCATTCCGACGTGACCTAGCTCCTCCTTGTCAGTCTGATGCGATGCATATTTCCAGTTCCAGGCGAGGGTTCTGGAAGGAGTCACCCCACTACTGGCCAAGCACTAACCATTACCCATTACCTAAATTGAAACACGAGCCAAACAACACAGACCCACACCCACTGCGCCCTCATTTCCCGCAACACCCTCCTACAGCCAATCCATAATGGTTGCGTTTTCTAAAATTCCCCCTCGACACAGCTCCGTACCCTCCGCACTTGAAGGCACATCACAGAAAAGATTCCTGTAGCGGCTGGCAAACTTAGGGCATCAAGGGAATAAGCAGGCAGGAGAGGTTACAATGCAATTTCAGGGTTCACAACACACTCTCTCACTCTCTCTCTCTCTCTCTGGAGGTTGCATTACCCGTGGTAACAACTAGCCAGCAACCCTGACGTCACAAGGAATCCGTAAACACCAACCAAACAAACTCTCGGACATAAATCTAACCCAGAGAGCTACCGACCACCCTAATCGTGAAAAACCCCCATCCTCGCGACATGAGGCTGCCAACCAATGCCACAAACACTCCCTCGACGCCTCATGCACCCCGTCAGAACCAAAATGACGACCACCAGCGCCACAGTCCTCCCTGCCTTGTGCCTCAAGTGAGCTCCTCTCGGCCTCCCGCGAGCTGAGCGAACAATGTGTTCTACGAGATGGTGTTCAGGAATTATGTTTAACCCAGCTTTGGAGCTCTTTGTTTACATGCCGATTGGCGTCACCCAGCAAGGGGTTAAATACAAAAACACTATATAAATGTATTTTTTTTTTTTTTTTAAGGAAATCATAGGAAATTTATTTATTCGGCGGCATTAAAGAAAAAATACCACATCAAAAAAAGATTTCTCAGCAACCAATTAATAGCGGATGAAAACTAGCCCAGGAGAGCAGCGGGAGCAACGGACACGTAAAAATTCGCAACAAAAGAGCCGCCAACAGAAGCCAAAACAAGAGACCGTGTCTGCACCCAAGCCAGGAGCCCCAGAAAGCGAAAAACGAGCCCCAAGGAAGAGAAGACCGAGCCCCAGAGAAGAAAGCCGAGCCCGAAGGAGGAGAATCCAGCCCCGAGAGCCGCCTCCCGCCCTCCCGCCCGACGCCATCGGCCCCGACGCGCCCGACCCTCCATGGCGGCCCCCTTTTCCCCTCCCTTTCCCGCCCTCCCGCTCCCTCCACTCACCTGTCTGATATACATGTTGGTTCCCCGCCGACTTGCCGACCATGATTTCGCACCGGGGACGAGAAATTCCACGAAAGGCCTACGTTACGAGGGACATCTTAGGCGACGCTTCGAGGGGCTTCGAGGCGGAGATGGCGCTGGACC